ATATATATATATATATATATATATATATATATCCTATTTTTCAATTTATATTATAATTACTAACATAATTTGACCTTTTAACAAACAGATTTTTTTTTTCATTATTACAGTTATAAACTGTTTCAATGATTTAATAATTTCTGAATTTCTCAGGAGTGATGCCTGATTCTGAAGTTAAAGAAATCTTGATCAATACATTTGGCAAACAGAGTCACGTCTTCCGAAAGTATGGAAGGATGATGTATTGGATGCCCAAGTTTAAAAACATTACCCCATTTCCTCTTCCTGATCCTCTACCAAAGGACCCTCTGGAACTAGCTAAGCTAGCTCTCCGGAGAATTTCTGTGGATCTACAAACAGAAATATCTGAGTGGAATGTAAGAAACTTTGATAACCATCATGAAAATATTTATGAATATTGTAACTGATTTGAAAATAAAACTAAGTTTCAACATAAACTAAAGAAAGTTTTACGAGTGTGATTTAAGCACATGTGTAGTTTGTAAAGTCGAAGGTTTCATTCAGGACTAACTGCACTATTACCTATAGTGATGTTACAATCTAATTAAAAAGTGATTTTTTTATACTTCTGAAGTTAAGTGAATTCTTAACATTCTAAAGTTAATTCAAAAAACTTATGTGCTGATAAAGGAAATATAATAGAAAATGAGATACTGATAAATTAGAAGGATTATAGTATCACATTTAGTCAGACAAGTAAAGTTGCAGTTTAAAAAAATAGATTGAAATATTTGTTATGAAATCATAAAACGGACTTGTAGATGCTGAGACTGAAAATATATTTTTCTTAGGCCTAAAAGTTATTTGTTATAAAATCATAAAACTGATTTGTAGATGCTGAAACTGAAAATATATTTTTCTTAAGCCTAAAAGTTATTTGTTATGAAATCATAAAACTGACTTGTAGATGCTGAGACTGAAAATATATTTTTCTTAGGCCTAAAAGTTATTTGTTATGAAATCATAAAACTGACTTGTAGATGCTGAGACTGAAAATATGTTTTTCTTAGGCCTAAAAGTTATTTGTTGTGAAATCATAAAACTGACTTGTAGATGCTGAGACTGAAAATTTATTTTTCTTAGGCCTAAAAGTTATTTCTTGTGAAATCATAAAACTGACTTGTAATTGCTGAGACTGAAAAAATATTTTTCTTAGGCTGAAGAACTTGAAGACTCATTGGACAAGACTTGGATAGTAGGTTCCCAAAGTCCGTTACAGAGACAACTCTTAGAACAGCACCCAGATGATCAAGCAGTATACATCGAAGGATCATTTATAGTTTGGTTACGGCAGATGGCAGTATCTTATTTTATTATGAGAGCCAATCCAAAAAAGTACCCTGCAAAAGAGGAAGATCTTGATGGTGCGTAAAGTTCTCATAGTAAATTTTGGGTTTTTCGTGTTAAGGATCTACTACAGAATTAAACACATGGTGATTAATTTTTGGTTTTAGGCATGTATCTGTAATTCTGAAGCTGTAATATGAAACATGATAGACCACCTTTGGTAACTAAACACATATTGTGGACAACTGAAAACTGCAGTTTCATTTTTATATTAGTTCTTGTTAGCTCAGCTAGATGATCATTAAATTCTTTAGAATTTTCGTACAAAGCTACACAAGGAATATCTGATCTTAGTCATCTTTAATTTTGAAAACTAGAGAAAAAGCAGCTAGTCAACTCTCATGTGACCAAATAGTGGGGTTTCACCACCACTCTTATATAGTACTCACACCTCTAAAGTACATTGCACATTTTTGTAGTAGTGGAATGCAAACCATGAGTCTTCATATTCACATTTCGCCAGCCACATCAACTTTGTGCGGACATTAAAAAATGTCACATTAGAGCTCTAGTTGTGGAATTTGACGTTTTATCATTTTCTGCACCCTCATTGAAAAGTGTGATTCACTCTAGTATGTAGTCTTTTTTAAACTTTTAGTTTTATAAGTTGTAATGTGAAACGTGACTAAAGTGGTTTCGAAATATATAATGCAACGTTTTGGAGGGTGTTAAAGCATTGGTAAAGTTTTAAAGACAACCTAGAGGAATGGCAGTATTTCTGTTTCTGTATAAATAGCACAGAGGATCATAACAAAAAATTAAATGAACACAGAAGCTTGAATGTTTTATAAATTGTATCAGAGATTTTCACATAAAGTTATGTACAACTTTCCAAGATGTCTGTAGAAAATATTATTGTATTGGTTGGAAGTTTGTAATATATGCTTCATATTTAGTTAAAAGAATCATTGTCATGTTTTGTAGCCTCTACAATTATTCAAGTCTGATAATTAGTTACAAATTTAGAATTATTTATAATTTGATAATAATTACTAATAGTTTATATCCTATGTTTTGGCTGCTGTTTTAAAAAATAATTCACACTTGGAGTAAACTTGCCGTTAAACATAAAATTCCTATCGACTTCAAATTCACTCAAAAATTCGACCGTAAACTAAAATTGTTACTGAATAAAAATTAAATAGAATCATGCAGTACCACCATTGTTTATGAAATAATATGTAAAAACTGTTCAGAATTCTACGTCAGAGATACTGGAAGAAAATTTCAAACCAGATTTACTGAACGTAATAAAAAAAACTTCCCATGTTTACCACCATTGCAATTAAATAAACTACAGTTTTTCTATATAAAACAATGTAGTTTTGAACAAACATCAACAAATGCAAAATAAAGGAATCCATCTTAATTGAACAAAACAGCCCAATTCTAAACCAACACTCCGGGTAACCAAGATATGTTTACTAAGCTGTCATGCAACTTCTGGTCATGTGACCTCTTTATTCCGTACTGTGTGTATATATATATATTCCTGTGTCTATGTAAGCTATTTATACCTGATGATGACAAAAGCTTGTTGAAATGTTCTTTTGTGATAAAGATTTTCACTACCCATTCAAGCCATCTCCAAACTTTATAGACTTGATCTTTGTGTGGTAGCCATTTTCAACTAGAGTGAAAGCTTGATGTTGTATTTCTGTTGCATTGTAACATACTGTTCTCACGTACAGAGGATATGTAAAAAGCATAAAATCAGAACAGTACTCAGAAGTTACATCACAGTTAATACACTCATCTTAAATACGTTTTAACTTATTAAAGTCACATCACAAAAATCTTCTCTAAATGATTCTCTTTTTTTGTGTCAAAAAAATAGTTTAAATTAAACCACATGAAAAATAGTCTAATAGAGCTAACTATGTTTAAAAAATTAAATGGAACTTGAAAGAGAGTTTAGGGCTAAGACATTAGGTTTAAAAAAACTTAAATGTAGATGATTTTAATTGATGTTGTTGTTAGTCATCCAAAATGCAGTTAGGATTAAAGCATTAAGAATAATTTTATTTTTAAATACCCAATATTCATAGAGCTTACTTCTTGTCAACATCAGCGACATGCCAATTGAGAATTAAACAGTAAGGTCGTTTTTTAAATTACGTGAAATATCAAACTAAACAGTGTTAAGAACGTACAACACAATAAGAATTTTTATATCGTCTTTCTTTCCTCATCCAATATGAGTATCCAATAAGGAGATTACAGTAACATTTTAACCATGTGTTAATAACTGTTTTGTAAAGAATGGTAAGAGAATATTACATAAAAAGACATCTTGATGTCATTAAAAATGCATTTGTAAAAGGTATTTTCAATAAAAATAATAATACTTTTTTTTAGCAGTATAAGGGATTCAAACTGATTTTTCAACTTAATTGGGCCTGGCATGGCCAAGTGGTTAGGGCACTCAACTTGCAATCTGGGGGTCGCGGGTTCAAATCCCCATCCCACCAAATGTGTTCGCCCTTTCAGCCATGGGGGTGTTATAATGTGATGGTCAATCCCACTATTCGTTGGTAAAAGAGTAGCCCAAGAGTTGGCAGTGGGTGGTGATGACTAGCTGCCTTCCCTCTAGTCTTACACTGCTAAATTAGGGACGACTAGCACAGATAGCCCTCGTGTAGTTTGCACGAAATTCAAAAAACAAACAAACAATCTACATAATCATAAGCTTTCATTGATTAAAGAATTTTTTTTATCTTACTTGACTTGCTTTTACTGTTTATAAAGAACTCAGTTCTTAAAGCATAAGCCATGGGCTTTGGCTGATCATAAAAGGTCAAGAAAGAATAGAGAAAAAGATCACCAGAGGTCAAATTTTTAAATTTGTACCCATATTTGGGGAAGTGGAACACTTTTAGTCCTCACTGTTTATAAAGGTCAAAGGTAGTCACATAGCAGTTATTTTGATATTTTTGTGATTTTCATTGACCATCGGGGTCCAGTTATAAGTCTTAGGTCCTAACCGTACATCAATAAATAATTAAATAAATAATATATGTGCTATTAATCCTTACCTTAAATGTGAATTGTAAATAATATCGATGATCGTTACGCTTCAGTTACTCAATTTAGTTCACTCTGTAACAATTGTTGCTCATGCACCTGAACATATATAAAGTGCTTAGACCTCTTCTGTTTCTGACGTAACGAGCCGGCCCTGAAGATCCCTGGTATTCTGGGTATGGGGTATGGCTGATATAGTGTGGTTGATTTATTATGATATAAACTTCTTTATTTCATTCTTAAGTTTGTAAAATTAAATGCCCCCCCTCAGTGGTAAAACTGGGGCTTGTAATGCCAAAAATAGGGTTTAAGTAGCTGCAGTTGGCAGAGCATAAATAGCTCTTTGAGTAGCTTTGTTCTTAACAACACCAACAGCAAAATTAAACTCGTAGAGTTAATTCACTGGTGCAGAATTGTTTTATATTTCTCTCTCTTTTTCTTCTAGTTCGTGTATTCCTCATTATGTATGATCACTCAGTTCATTTTGCATTTGGTGTATTTTTTTCACAAACCTGCTGGAAGTTATGAGTATTAATGTGTTTATATAAGTAAAGCAGTACTGTAATGAAAAAAAAAGTTTTAAACTGGTATTTTTTAATTTTTGTAAGATTGAGCCTGCTTTTTTTTTTAGAATATCTTAAGCACATTTTACAAGTTAACAATTTATTCATTGTTTGAAAATTATCAACAAAGCCATTGGCTAAGCTGCATTCAGCATGGATTGTGTTTTTTAAGTACAGGTTAAGTTTCTATTTGTTTGTTTATAAATTCTCACTGTTGTTTTTTAATTATTTTACATATTTCTGCCGTACACTTTCAGATATCTACTATGTGGTGCAATATAAACTATATTACATCATGTTACCTTGTAAGATCTATAACTTTGAGGTTTGTAGGTTTCTGTATACTGTGTATCGAGAACACACTGTGTGTATTTGAAAAGTATTCAATAGGTACTAGTAACTGGGTGGTTTTTAATGTGGAATTTAATTGCTTGGTTGAATTACATACAGATCTAAGCTACTTTGATTATACATTGAAGTTATTTTTATTGTTTATACAGAAATTTGCAACATTTTGAGTATTTAAAGGATTACAATCATCTACCTTGGTTTTGCGAGATGTACATTCTGAGCAGGTTTAAAAAGAACTAAGTTTGTGATGTTGGATCTAATGTTTCCACTTTCAAGGTACATTTGATTGTGGCTTTTTATTATAATGCATTTACCCTTATTCAATAAATAAAATCAATTGTACTTGAAATATTTGTCAGTCTTACAATTCTGAAATGTTAACTAATTTCAGGCTTTTGGAGTGTTCACTCTTAATCATTGTTGCTTTCAGTAATTAGATGATATGTTTCATTTGTTTTTGTTGAATTTGTTGTTAATTTTTATGTATAACTTTCTGTTTCAACAGATGTATCCAACATTACCTTGACAATGTTTGACCACCATCCAGAATCAAAAGAGCTGATGCTGGAACCTTCGATACATGAGCAAGAAGATGGTACTATTCTAGCTATGTGTGCCACAGGAACATCCAGCCGAGATTCGCTGCTGTCCTGGATCCGGTTTCTTCAGCACACCAACCCTTGTCTTAAGAAAATTCCTGTAGTCTTTACATTAAAGTCACCATCTAAAGAGCTGGTGACGGTGGCTGTGAATGAACAAGAAAGTTCCATTGCAGAATCACAAGAAGGTTGTAAGAAAATACCAACTCGTGATAAATTGAGCAATGTATCAAGTAACGAGGACTCTAGTAGTAGAACTCCAAGTAAAGACATTGCAGATAGATAACTTATTAATGTATAGTCCTAATTATATGTGTTCTTTAGTGTACATTTAGAAAAACAGATAACTGTATTGGTACATTTGAATTAGTCTTGCCCTATTAAAGCTGAAATAATATAGATTTTTCTATATTTCTTATAAATGATTTGTAAGGGTTGAATTGTACATTCTTAAAGCAAGGAGATCTAAAGACGTAACTTATAAAGAGCTGCTGATGATAATAATTCAATGAGAAAAATCTGAAATATTATTAGAATCAATAAATGAATGTATTACCTCTTGTATAGAATATCGAACTATATTATAAATAATTTTTTATGTGTGTATATATATTATAATCTCTGTCATCACATCTGGTCATGCTATATGTGATTGACTATGCATTTTGACAAAGGTCCTGTAACTAGTTTCCATTAGTAAAGACTTTGTCAGGTCTAAAACTAACAACTCCTTCTTGCAACTTTCCACAATCCATTTACTCTATCAGGATGACTGTCTCACAGCACCCGCTTGAACAGTCTGATCACACAGAAATACTTAGGCACTGAATCCAGCAACTTTACCTGTTAATTTCTTCATACGGAGTAGCATGAATACCCGTTGTTTCATTCTTTAACGACATGAGGTATGCAATGATTGAATGGGAGGTATGACTGGAATCCTTATCTTAGTGAACCTGTACCATTTTAGCCTTGTTTCTAGATGGAGATCTTTGATTGTTTTTGTGTAATGTTGCCTGGTTCATGTAGACAGATTCTGCCACTGACCTTTGCATTAGCAGATTTTCACCTGATGCTGCACTTTGCCTACCATGGCTGATGTACTTGCTGCAGGTTTCTTTCTAGATGATCTTGGTGTTCCAAGTTGAACTATATTAATTTTTTATCCAGTGTATCCCTATCGTGAAAATTCTAAATCCATAATCTGAACACATTTTTATAATCTAAGTGTATGAATATTTTGTCCAAATGTGGTTCTTATACATCCTGTTTCATCGTGACTTTATGTCAGTAGTTGTTGTCATGAGACTTGCTGATTTACTTAACCAAAATCGATTTGATATAAAATACTAAATCTTGTATATTTGACTAAATGATTTTGTAAAGCTTTTTTTAAAATCACACTCTCTACAATTTTTTTCATCATAAAAGAAAGAATAAATTACCTAGGCAACTCTTATCAACCTCTTTAAAAATAGCAGCAACATTAGCAACCCTCCAGCCCTTGGGCACCTGACCAGTGGAAATTAAGCTTCCAGAAATGATAGCGAGACGCTCATATCCACTCTTTGACCTCCTCTAAAACTGTGGGAGAAACATTATTGGTTCTGCTACTTTATTTTTAAACCCCTAATATTTCATTTTATTATCGAGGGATTAATTCCTTAAACCAAAATGGATGCTGCAAGTGTTTGTCAAAAAATCCTGATTTACCCATTGGACACGAACAGCATCTGATAACATTTATGTCTCTTTGGCTGAAAACTAGTCCAAACCATGTTATTATCCACAAAATTAAGAAAATTGAAATTTTTTAAGGTATAGGGATAATGATTAGGAAGTCATGAAAATAACTAATAAAAGAATGTGCAAAAAATTATGGGTTTAAACAGTTAATATCTACATGGTTTGGGTCAATTTCCAAAATATTTTCTGTACACTTCTCAGGGTCAGAAATATTTCTAACATTCTTTTCTTGTAAAAACAAAACAGGAGAAAATATTAAGAGCTCAACCATCTCATAGTCTTCAACATAAACCTTACCACCAGCATCCTTTAAGAACCCAGTCTCCATTTTAATATTTTGTTTGTCTTTATGTTTAAAACAAGGCCAAAATAAGAGTTTTACTCTTTTGATAAGTTAAACAGAGGCAGTTTAATGTTACATAAAACCATTTATGATTGACAAACCAAATAAATCACAGCATTTCAATTAAAAGGAATACAACGTTAAAATTATTACACAATAAATAGTTATTAAAAACAAGGAATTGCCCTAAAAAAGACTGTGCATATGTTTTGGTGACCGATGACACCATATTCAGGATGCTGAAACATGTAGATATTGTGATAATGTATTTCAATACGTTATGGCCCTCCAAATAGTAGCCAATAGGGCCATATCATATTGGTTCAACGCGATATGGACCTCTAGATGGTAGCCAGTGAGGCCATATCATATTAGTTCAACGTGATATGGAACTCTAGATGGTAGCCAGTAAGGCCATATATTAGTTCAACGTGATATGGACCTCTAGATGGTAGCCAGTAAGGCCATATCATATTGGTTCAATGCGATATGGACCTCTAGATGGTAGCCAGTAAGGCCATATCATATTAGTTCAATGTGATATGGCCATCTAGATTGTAGCCAACAAGGCCAGAATGTTTTGACTAATCTTGTTGTTAATGTACAGTTTTGACAAACCATTGGGGTCTTGTTGTATTGGTTAAATGCAGTATGGCCCTCTAGATGGTAGCCAACAGGGCCATAATGTATTGACTCATCATGTTGTTATCGTCCATTTGTGATAAGCAGTCGGAGCCATAACGTAATGGCGTTACTGAACAAGCCAATGATAACATAATTACCAATTACACATGATGTCTCTACAACATTGTTTCTCATACTTTTTTTTTTTGGCCACGGAACACTTTTCAGCTGAGAAAAAGCTTACGGAACACAAGACACGTGAAATATCGGTGTAGATGGTATGTTGCACGCCCAGCGCCCTCTAGACTTGTTTATTTTCATTCATTTATTTATTTAATCAAATTACATATTAATAAATTTTCATGCTTATAATATATTT